TTAAGTTGTTTAATTAGGAGAGCTCCAATCCCTTAATTAAGTTAGATAAAATGCCAAGGAATCACTCATCAAATCTTACAACTAGTCCAGTTTTGCCTTGTCTAATCTTGAAACTACCACTGGGCATTTTATGATAAAAACTACATCAGCGAACAAACCCTAACTCTATCCAGTCACCAGTGAAGCTAGAAACCACTTTGCCGGCATTGTTGTTGCCATCGCCGGTGGCAGACGATGACCCTTGCCCTCTCTCTCTCTTGCTCTCTATCGTGGGCAATGGACAACTTCAGTATGGCCGCCGTTTGTGGTTCATGGATGCCAGGGACGGCGTCGGCGAGTTCGTTGACAGAGAGAGAGAGAGAGAGATCGATGACATAGGGGCAGCTCGGGTGAGGTTAGAGTGGTTACTGTTACGGCCTTCTGAATCTGCGGATTTCATGGTGGACGAGAGCAGTTTAGTGATGTGGTAAAGGCCTTTTGAATGAGGAATTGCAGTTTTGTAAATAAAACTAAAGAATTAACTCACGTCAGATGCAATTTGGTGTCTGCATGGAAAACTTACATGCATAACTCGTCATTTAAATTTGTGATAAAGGAGGCAAAGTCTCTGAATGGTTTACCCTTTAATTTTGATTCGCGTTATCAATGGACAAAATTAAATAAAAAAATTATTTTGGAATTGATATAAAAGAATTGTCTAATATTATTATTTTTTATTAAGCTGCTTTTAGAATACTTTTTACTGGTCTTCCAATTCCGACTATTCATCCTTGCAAGGCTTAGTAGTCAAAGCGCGACTTTTGCCGACTTGAATGTTCCCAGCAGCATGTGCATGTGCATCATCAAACCCTAAAGTCACGTCGTATTCAAGCATGCAGAATTCCAGTGCATCAAAAAGCTTTGAATCGGATTGTACATTCACAAACCTTATCGAAAAAATCCAGTTCAGATACTCCACCTCGGCGTCGCTATCTTCTTGAGCTGTTTTTGTGGCCCGAGTCATGCCGAACCCGATGGAATTAAACTCGCTGATCACACACCACAAAAGAAAGCGCGTTGCTTCAGAGAAAAACAACGAAAGAAATTGCATGCACCACACAGGCTCGAGCGCAAGATCACGTGCACCTTTGCTGCTCGTTTTGATATCGTTTCATCAATGTTGCTTTCACGACATTCATTCAGCGCTTGCTCATCCGCTCACACAGCTAGCGAGAACATTTGTACAAAGAGTGGTTGCACATCTTAAAGTTCGAACTAGCCACATTTACACAAGCTTGTTCGAAACATGTAGGAAGATTTCCATCGCAATTAGTCGTTTTCCGACCAATTTCCTGAATCGATACGTTCCGGGACGACGCATTTCCATTTAAATTTGTCTATTATAGGTGACGTGTCGGTCCGCCTGAGAGAAAAAGCCTGGAAATATGTTTGGTGGAAGGAAATTGAATATCTCAAGGTAGATATATGTCCAACTCAATAGAATGTGGTTTTGCAAAGGATTACATTGGCTCACACTATCCAGGGCCACAAGCGAGGTTGTTCCTCAGTTCATGCACTTATCAGTGAAGCCTATGTCTGTTTATGAACAAAATCGAGTAAGATATCGGATACAACCAGCTTCAGCTAACTCGAAAATCTATAGAGAGACAACATTCGCAGAAAATGAGATATAATTCATTTGTTTCTGCGATTCCTTTGCGTTAGAAGATGATCATTCGTCGATGGACAAGGATCCTTTGAATTTAATGCAGTAAACTGTTAAGATGTAAATTTACTCCCTTCATAGGATGACACATTAACACTTTATATATTCAATGGCTTAGATGTATTCTCCTTTTCTTTTTTCTTTTCATTTTCTCCTAATCTTTTATTCTCTTTTACCTCTTCTCTCTTAACTTCTTCCCATGATGATGGCAGAAGTCGCGAGAACCCTACACTTTGCCACTTTGCTGCCACAACCCCTTCCTGATACACCTCCAACCGTTATCGTCGCCAGCACCCTCCACCCCAACAGCCTCCACAAAATGCTGGACCATGGTAGTCCGGCCGAAGAGAGAAATGGATAGATCATGCGGTCATCTAGGCGGTGGCCACTGGCCGGAGATTGTCTCCAAGCAGCAGACGCAAGCAAGGGAGGCAGCAATGAATCACGGGGGAGGACTTCAAGGTAGAAAGATTGGGGCGAAGGGTTTTTCCAAAAAGTTTAAGGGCATTTTGGCACAATTAGCTTAATTTTGCGAGGGTAAGTTAACTAAAAATGCATATTACCCTGCTATAAATTTAGGATATCCCAAATAGAACGTGACTCGATATTCGCTCCAATAACGTACGTGTTATGTTTCACACGGGCTATCGACCTAATAATATTTCTGTAGGAAAAACCCAAAAGAAATTCAAGGACAGGTCATTAATGACCCAACTTTTTGATGCACACGGGCGTCTGCAGAGATGGAGCCCAGGAGCCATCAATGGAATGTGTGGGGGTGGTGGTGTTGTTGCTGGGAATGGTGATGAGGATGGAGACGGTTCAGACCAGCGGACAAGGAGTGAGCCACTCCCCTCTAGAGCACGTATGGACAACGTTTGCTTTTGTCTTGATTCTCCTCCACCGTGAATTGTCCCACCTTTTTTTGGGCTATCCATCTTTTCTTTATGCCTTTCCTTCTCTCTTCTCCTTTGACTTGGTTTCTCCCCCACTGTTGATTGAAGAATGACCTAATATTCGGTCTTGCATGGAGAGAGTATACCTAACGCACATGTATGCTGTTTGGCTAAAACCCATTTCTTGTTTTTATCAAATTCTTTTGGAAAAATGATACAAATGTCCTTGAACTTTGGTCAGATGTGTAATGTGATCCATGAACTTTAGCCTAATGTGTAATATCGTCCATGAACTTTTAATCTATTCAATGTGATCTCTGAACTTTTTTTTTTAATCTTTAAATCTTAGCTTAGGGGAGATGATGGTATTTAAATTTAGGTTAACCAACAAAAGTCAATTACATTGAGCATCTAGTGATCAGTTCTTTAGATGAACCTTGTCGTCTTGTTCAGAATCCTCTCAGTTTATTAAGCTGAGAGACTAGGTTTGGGTATATAAGTACAAATAAGACTATGCTTAGGTCAATTCCATATTAACTCAAGTTTCTACTCGCGTTTTCACCCGGTCCATAAGATTAGAGAGGCATGTGAGCCGAGGTTTATCCTCTAAATTAGTGTGGAGTTCCACATCCTAAATCAAAACATATTTTTCTAATTTAGGACCATATTTTCTTCCTTCTCTCGTTGCAAGCTAGATGCTTCTTGCAACAACTTTTCTGATTGGAGGGTCACAAACACGAACAAGTGCATCGCCCCATATATATATTTAGTTAAGTTTGTTTGTAGTTGATGTCCATAAATTACACTTACCAATCACAGGTATGGCTAGAGGAAATTCTCTCCAACAAGGGATGCGGGAAAATAGTCCACAAGTTAAATAGGGCACATTTCCTTCGAAGCCTTGTATTAAGTTATCCGGTTAATAGATATTCATGTCTCGGTGATGTGACTTTTAATGAACGAAGTCTCGATGATAGAGGTTGTTTATGTTAGATTAAATTTGAGATTGTCTTGCCTGTAACCCTAGTATAAATAGGTCCTCGAATCGCTTTGTCATTACATTCTCAGGTTCCACCTCTTTATTATTTGGTTGATTAGCTCCAAACACACACACACACTATCTAATATCTATCACGAGTTGCAAATGAGATTGAGAAGAAAGTTTTTAAAGTTCTTATGCTTCCACCTATTGATAGAAGATGAAAATGTAGCTCATGTGGAGATTCTTTTATTATTAGTCCTTGACATCTACACAATTCTCAAGAAGCAGTGAGTTATAAGTTTCTAATAATCCATGTTCTCGACAAATGCAATAATTAGATTCCTTATTATCGAGAGAGAATTCATAATTCTCATCAATTTCTTCAATTCCACCTTATATCATTAGCACAATGAGAAAAGTGCTTGTAATATGAGGATTGGAGGGTGAGTTTTGAAATTGCACCGGACCTAACCAAAAGCACTCCAGCTAATTCAACCCCACCTCCCCCAAATAATAATTATATGAACAATAATTAAATTTTCAATTAACCCCCCTAAATTAATCTTAAAGGAAAGTCTTTTTTTTTTGGAAAATGACACAAACGGTTCTTGAATTTTGGCTCAATGTGTAATGTGGTCCCTGAATTTTTTATTTGTTTAATTTGGTCCATAAACTTTAGTTCAATGTGCAATGTGATTCAAGAACTTTTAATTTGTTCAATGTCATTCCTGAACTTTTAAGTTAAAGTTCAGAGACCAAATTGAACAAATTAAAAATTCAAGAACTACATTACACGTATTAAACCAAAGTTTAGAGACCATTTGTGTGATTATCTAATATTTTTTTACCGAATATGAAAAGAATCGAAAGTCCCACACGCTCGTGCACCACCCGGGTACCAAACACGCATGTGGACCCGATTCACATGGGTGATCATTTTTCCAATTCCTTCTTCCCTCCTTTATCATTATTTTTCCTTTTTCTCCTTTTTTATGGAAAGAAAGAGGGAAATAGGGGAGATGAATGGACGGTCCCGATCTCAAGTCCCGCACGGGCCAAGGACGGATCTGGGCCGTCGGACGGGGGCCAGCGAAAAAGGTAATCCATATGGGCGGCTGAGGATTGTCCCAACCTTGTCCCCCTGATTGACAGCACTTGCCCCGATGTTGCTCCCGCTGCTGCCGACACCCCTCCCCTTTTCTTTGTCCCTAATTCATGCAATTCCATAGCTAGACACAGAGAGAGAAGAGAGAGAGAGAGAGAGAGAGAATAATATAACACTAAACCTAAGAATTGTCAAGAAAAACAGGAAAGAAATTTTTCTCTCTCTTCTCTCTTCTCTCTTCTCTCTCCGCTCTCCCTCTCTGGCCACTTGTTTGTCATCTTCTCTCCTATAAGAACACAACTTGCCAACCTCCACCTTCCCTCACAACTCGACTTCTTTCTCTGCCTTTCAAAATCCCTTTTTTTTTCTTTTGGGTTGTTGCAAGAGGCTTGGTTGAACCAGATCTTTGGTTAGCTTTACATCATCAGCCGAGGAATTCCCCAGAGAACCGAAAAAGAAGACAAAAGAAATTCTGGGTTTTGTTGTGTGAGCTCAGAACTGCGAAGTTGATCCAAGTTGGGGAAGACATTTCGAGAAAGCTTTGATCTTGAGGGGGGTTGAGTCGTAGGACAAAGCAATAAGATGGGAAGCGGTGGTGGTAGTTATGAGAAGGATCTGAACTTGGAGGCAACTGAGCTCAGGTTGGGCTTGCCGGGCACGACTTCGTCAACGGCAGCAACAGATCAAGAGCCGGAGGCAAGGCAGGCGAGGAACAACAAGAGGTCGTTGGTCGACAGGTGCGAGGAGGAGGCCTCAGAGGATGCTTCTCGGGCTCTTCAAAAGGACCATGACTCTGCTCCTTCTTCAAAGTATGAGTTCTCTTTTTTTTTAACCCTTTTGTCTATGATTCATTTTAGTACTTCTTTTGTTTTGGGTGGGAGCTAATTTTCTTGGGTATAAATTTTTGCAGAGCACAAATAGTTGGGTGGCCACCAATCAGATCTTACAGGAAGAACAGCCTTCAGACGAAGAAGGCAGAGACTGAAACATCATCATCTGGGATTTATGTGAAGGTGAGCATGGATGGAGCACCATACCTCAGGAAGATTGACCTCAATGTCTACAAGGGTTACTCAAATCTCCTCAAGGCCTTGGAGAACATGTTCAAGTTCACCATTGGTAAATTCTTGTTGAATATTTCCTCTATTCTTTTGGATCTGAATCGTTTGTTATGTCAAAAATTTTGATGTTATAGAATCACGAAATGTTAATGTTGGGTTTTTGTGATCTTGTGTTTCAGGGGAATATTCAGAGAGAGAAGGCTACAAGGGGTCAGAATTTGCACCCACTTATGAAGACAAGGATGGTGACTGGATGCTTATGGGAGATGTTCCGTGGGAGATGTTCATGACATCTTGCAAGAAGCTGAGAATCATGAGAGGATCTGAAGCTAGAGGACTGGGATGTGCTGTATGAGGGTTAAAGCCCATAAAAGTCCCCTAAAAAAGAAAAAAAAAATGAAGGAAGAAGATAGCCAGAGGGAGAGATTTTCAGCTTGGGTTGTTCATGAAGGATTTTGTGATCTTTAGACATAGGTAATCTCCCTGTGGCTGGTCTTCTCCAAGGTTGGAGTGATGGGTCTTCAAGAGATATATGATTTAAACCAGAGAGAGAGAGAGAGAGAGAGAGAGAGAAGCATAGTGAGTTAGCTGTTCTTTTTTGTAAAATTTGAAGCAGTATTGTATGGTGGCTTGAGCATATGTTATGCCAAAGATACCATTTTCTAGCTATCCATGTCAGGGATAAAAAAAATGCATACAGAGATATTTTTTTTCTTGATTTGTCTGTATAGAGGGGAAGTTATCAGAATTTATGAGTTCATGTACTTTTCAGTACAGTTCTTACAAGTTCCCACTTTAAGATAAAGATTAGAACATAAATTTTGTTTTGGCTTTTCTTGTTTTCGAATTCCAACATGAGATATAGGTGATCTAATTGAATCCATATCAGTTTCAATTGTTTTTGTTCTTAGACATCGAACTCAAAACTTCAGCAGCTCCAGATCTGGCGCTGATGGACCTAGATCTGTAGCACGATTATGAAAATTTAACCCATTGGCTACAGGTTCTAATTTACCTGGATCTGAATTTTACGAGAGGATTGAGCAGATCTGCCATGAAACAGATTTATAAGAAGCTCGTTATGTAATTAGCTGCCTCCATCTGAACGAATTTGCAGATTCTTCTTGTATCTGAATTGTTATTTCCATTCCAAAACTCTTCACCATTAATAGAAGCTTGAAATATGATGAAGATCTTGATATCAGCAAAAATGGAACACAGATTATCGTTCGGTCAAAAAGTCCATAATGCAATTACGTAATATCATTGACAATGTCTTGGTCACAGAATCAGACTTCATCTGAACGTCTTATGGTTTGCACGTTTCTTCAGCCAAGAATTGACACTTTTTGAAGGGATCAAGTGGGCTGAAGACATGATACCCTAATTGACGCCATGAATGGATGAATTGACACACCTTGTATACACGGAAATTGCATCTGAATTATATAACTTACTTGGACCATACCTTACAAGGGAGGACAGCTAGGTTCTTTTTCTTCGTGAAGAAGCAAATGCAGATTTTGTTAAGGGCAAGACCACCACTTGAAAGCACGATTGCACAAAAATCTTTTGGTGAAATCTTCAAACAAGACAAACTTCTGACACGAGGTTACTGTTAGGATGGAAATGAAAATATTTCGATGAAAGAGCGCATCTAAAGCACTCGTTAAGTAATCAAACTAAGGTTTTTGATATACTGACTTTCTTTCTTCTTTCTTTTTTCCAGAATATGTGGAATAAGGGTTTTGTAAATTAAGTCGTATCTTATTAAGTAAAATTGCATAATCTTTTTTCTATACTTGATTCCATTCAAGTTGAAAGCACATGCACTCGATGCTACTTGTCTGCGAATGCGCATCAGAGGGGGGCAATCTCCAACTTTTTCACAGTACCTTTCGGCATGTTGTTCTTGATTTGGCTGCCTCCTCATAAGATATCATTTGTTCCAGATTTAGTTGTCCTCAGTATCTTTCTCCACCATGCATCAACCCCAGACAGTGCCGCCTAAAAATCATCATCATCAAGTTAATAAAAAAAACCATGGTGAGGCCAAAATATTTATCGAGCAGACCGAAGATTTTTAGGGCTTCGTGTACACTGTTTCTTGACCGATAATCATTTTTCATTGAATTTGATCAGTTGGTGCGTCCCAAAACATAAAGAGGGAGTAGAAAACACGTATATAATAAGGTGGAAGTTCATGTACGTGTACTGGAAAGAGACCTCGCACAGCATAAAGCAGATTAAAAAATTTCTGGTGTTCCCTAAAAGATTAATGATTTTTGTATGTCCGTTCACATCGTGATGTATTCTATTCCATGTGAACGTTCCTTTTGAGAGAAGATTCATTGAATTGGAGTTCCATCTGAAGGACTGGGTCTATGTCTCCATTAGGCGACACAATGACACATGAACTGCGTCTACAGTGCCACCTGACGAAGGATGCTCAATAAAATATAAGCACAGACCGGATGTAAAGCTTGATTTACGCAGACTTTATGTTAGGTACGCATGACATGTACTTGTTTCGATTCCAAAAATATTCGGTTTTTTACCTCTCGGAAGGATCACTGCACCGTACGGGTATCGGAATTGTGTGCACGCATCGAATCGCTAGACAGGCCATGTACAATGCGTGCTCTCGTTTCCTTCTTCCGTTTAAGGGGAGGTATGAAGCAAGATCTGACAGGTTCCGAGTTTTTCCCTAGAAAAGTCAGATTAATGTTGGCCTTTCATCGATGGAGAGTCTAGGGTTTTAGCAGCAGATCATGTGGCTTAACCCGAACATGTCACAAGCTCAAACTGTGTTCAAGAAATCATACGAACGTGCCATGTTGAAGAATCTTCAATTAATCATTCATCTCGTTCGAGTTTTACTCTTGGTATGTTAGGATTCTTTAAAGGGGGAAACAAGAATCGGGTAGGCAGAAGAATAAGTGGGGATCATGTTAAAGTCTAGAGTAGGTGAGCATGATTATTGCCGTAAGCTTTGTTCTCGAACACATTCCTAATAATGCAACTGGCGACAGCAACAGAAACTACTTCATGTCCTAGATTGAACCACGATCTGGCAGAGCCGGTGGATCTGATGAAGGTAAAAAAACAGAATAGTTGTAAAGTTACGGCAACTTTCCTAGCACATTGTCTTGACTTGAGTCACGTCCAGGACATGGAGTCGAAAAAGGAAGAGCTCAATAAAGTACAGCAAATGGTATATTTTTAGAGCTACAACCATTGAGATGTTCACCCCGTTGTGCCCAGTAACATTGTATCAGAACTAGGTTTCGATGCTTGGTTGCCCTTTAAATAATTTAGTTCGCATGTGGAATCTTGTTCTTCTTATTCCATCCGTTTTTAGCTCCTCCATACGTTCTTTGGACAATTTCTACTCGGCTTACATGTGAAAAGACGTACGGATGTATCTCATGTCGCTTATATATGAGATATATTGTCCACAATACATTTGCATATGTGTCATCTCTGTTCACCCAATCGAGTAAGCTTTTTAGGTTGAACTTTCTAATCGATGTTGTAAAAACCGATGGAAGAACCGCTACATTTTCATAGCAACTTACGAAGCCATTTGAGATTCATCATCTCATTACCTTACACTTTCACATAAACTAAGCACAAAAAACCCAGAATTCTAACAGCGGGGGCGAAATGTTCAAGATGCTTGACCTGAAAAGTTGATTAATATTTGCTATCATTACATGTGTGAAAGAACATCATAGTAGAATTTCTACTAAAAGGAAAATAACAAAACGTGTTTTTGTTTTGAAATGAGATAGAAATACTAATATCGAAATAATTCTAAATATCAGTGACGTCCTTTAAGTTCGCTTTATGAAAGTTCATACTCTTATAGACACCAAAAGTTAATTATTACACTAATATTTTACCTAAAATAAGAAATCGGTTTCTACCAAAGGCGAAAACTACAAATAATCATTTTAAGAAATAAATACTTTCTATCTAATAATTAATTTGATAAAGTAATTAAGAGAATTCTCTATAAATATAAAGAAGGAAAAGTAAATACTAAACCCAAGATAAGCGACAAACATAGCATATTAAGGAGGCGTTCGTTTAGCGGAAAATAAATGATTTGGAAACATTTTCCGAACAATAATCGCTTTTATCGTATAGAAAAATAAATAAATGAAAAAAAAATTTCATCACCTACGAAAATAGTTAGGCGTAGATTGTTATCGATAATGAAAATATTTTCCGTTTGACTAATTTTATAAACGATAAAAGCAATTATTTTTTCGAAAAATATTTTCCAAATCACTCATTTTTCACAAAATGAGCGCACTGGATTCTCAATTTATTACCGTCTTCACGGAGGCACTGATCAAAACCTGGTTTTTTAGGCAATGCAAGAAAGAGATCGAAACGTCAATTCGAACTGCAGGGAATCCAATCAGACTACAATAGTCGAGAGGACCCTTTGTAGGCCCGTTTTGTTCCCACTTATATGGACACAATAGAGCAATCTGCAATTAGCAACGACTTTGAAAGTTTGAATCCAATGCACACATTGACCTAGTGATAACCCATGACATCAATGTGATAAATTTACAAGACAGAGAAGGACTGATTGATGTGTTTGCTAGTGAGAGCTGCATAGCCCCTTGTGGTACTTTAGCATGATCCTTTTCGAAATAGAACCAATTATAAATCCTAAAAGCGACGTACGCAGATACAAAAACCACGATCAGCCCCGAAAGGATCGATGGAGGAAAACGTTTTTTCTGTTAAAATCATTTTTCAAGAAAAATGACTGGTTTTTAGTTGTTTGGTGGCATACTTGAAAGTGACGAGGAAAAAGCTTTTCGAGATTTAGATCATACTTTCAAAAATTATTTTGTCCATTATAATCATATTTTATCCCTAACATAAGATAATAATATAATATTAAAATCCTTGTCTAAGATATTACTACACATGAAGTTTGAATTTTATTTTTTTAATCAAAACAAAGCAACCAAAAAAATGGATTATGCAAATAATTAATAAACTTAATCTCTCGTCGCTCATAAACCTTCACGTGAGAATGGTTGTTCATTCCAAAGATGCAGTCAAAGAGTGATACCAAAGTAAGCATCAAAACTGGAAAAGAAGAAGAAAAAAGCAACGAAAAAGAAATGTCATGGTAGAATTGAAGACAAGAGCATCCTAAGTTGGCATTTTCACGAACACCTTCCATACCATTCTTCAAATATGAGTCACATGGACTAGTGAAAAATAACATAATCAAATGATGATTTAGTCCAACATATCTACGATAAATTAAGAGCTTATTTATATGATTGAGGCTAAAATTAGGGATAAATTTGAAGAGAAGCTGAAACTGCTTGAGAGTTTTTTATGAAGAGAAGAAAAGCTAGAGAGAGAGAGAGAGAGAGAGAGAGAGAGAGAGAGAGAGAGAGTATGTAGATTGAAGCTCTCTGCGAGCGTGCATGTGGAAAATGAGTTTAGGAAAACGATTTCTTCTTTTTAGGGTGGAGAAATTATTTTCTTCAATTTTAAGTATGGTTGTTTTCCTTCCCCGGAAAGGTTTCCATCGATTTCTAATATTGAACCAAACACATGAAAGTTTGAAAAATCATTTCATAGAGATCATTTTCATGGAAACGAACATGCCCTAAGTTTCAATGCTTGGCTGCCCTTTTATTCAGTTCGCATGTAAATTCTTGTTCTTCTTATGCCGTTCACTTATAACTCCACACACGTTTCTCCGTACGGTATTTACTTGTGCTCACATGTGATAGCAACCACTAATATATCTATCGCTTAAATATGAGTTTAGAATTTATAACATCATTTGCATTCGCATCATCTTTATTCACCTAATTAAGTTTTTTAAGTTGAACTTTCTAATCGGTGTTACAAAAACCAACTGAAGAATCTCAAAGCATCTGTACGTTGGCAACTGAAGAAGCTGTTTAACATGCTATGGTTGTTATTATTACATGTAGGAGAGAACATCACGCAACAAAATTACTACTAAAAAGTGAAATAGCAAAAAACACGAGTGAGAAACACTAAAGAGTATTATTGAAATAAGTTTAAACATTAGTGACGTCTTTTACGTTTATTTTAAGAAGGTTCGTACTTTTATAAGACACCAAAAGTCAATTATTATAATTAGATTCCACCTTGAATAACAAATTAAATTTATCAAGGGCGTAAATAATAAATAATCAAATTAAGAAATTAGCATTTTCTATCTAACTATTAATCAGATAAATTTTCTACAAATATAAGAAGGGAAAGTAAGTATTAAAATTTAGGATAAACAAGCAAAAAAGAATATAAATCAACACAAAAAATTCAGATAGTGGGACTTAGCCCAGCTCATTGAACTTGGGAAGGGGGGATGTAGAACATACAGAGTAGCACTATGAGCATACAACTTTAATTTTATTTAATTTAATTCTAACTTTATACACCAGCTTTTAACATAGTACTGCAAAATGCTAGGAAGGCTGACCAATGTCCACATTAGCACTTTCTGGCCAAAATTGGCCAGATAGACTTAATCAGCAAGAAGTGAAAATGTTTAGGACTCAAACTAGCAAGAAGTGAAAAGATTTAGAACTCAATTGGTAAAATTGAAAGGTTTAAAATCAAATTGGCAAAAGTGTAATAGGTTTATGACTTTTTGGATAATTTTCCCGTGAAATGCTGCTATTGATTTTGCACCCATAATTTTTCACTATTAGGTGAGCCAAACGCATGCTATTTTTTCCTCTTGCTTTCGTTTTTTGCTTTAAAGAATGTAGAACCTTCATGAACCCAAGATAAGCGACAAGCATACTACATCAATTCTCACTCCATCATCGTCTTGATCACGAAGGAATTGGTCAAAACCTGGTTTTGAAGGCAATGCGAAAAAGAGCTCGAAACATCAATCAGAACTACAGCGAAATCAATCAGACTGCTAGACAGGACTCCTCGTAGGCCCGTTTTGTTCCCACTTCAATGGACATACAAAGCAATTTGCAATTAGTATCGACTTTGAAAATTTGAATCCAATGTGCGAATTGACCCGGTAAAAAACACATAACATCAACGCGAACAATGAAGAGCACCGAAATGTCAAAACTAAATTAAATATAGAAAAGGATTGATGTATATTACTCGCGAAACCATACAGACCCCTTGTGAATTTGGCCACTAAGCTTCTTTAAGGCAAATCCTTCTCGAAATATACAAACCATAAATAATGCGTGCCGTTTGAAGGAACTCGTCGTTGCTTACATTCAAAGTTGCGTCGATAAACGACGTAATTGCAAGTAGATCTACCGGTTCAGAGATTTGACAAAATTTCCATTCTACCCCTTTTTGTTTCTTTCATAAATCCTAATTGTAACATATGCATAAATCTAAAACATTATCAGCTCCAAAAGGACTGAGACTGCTGGAGTTGAAAATGCAAACATTATAGGCAGAAAAGAGAACCCCTACATGTTTCGTATTGCTTAATAAACAGAAAAAAGATGAGCAAGTTCGATGGGCCGGCCGGCCCAAACTAGCGGGAGGAACTTAGGCTGAAGCCTGAGAAGAGAGTAAGAACAAGCATGTATTGCACCATGCACTTGCACAATAGCATTCTCATTCCTGCAAATCCCACTTATAAGCGAGAAGTCTCAACTAGTAATAGATGCACCTCGGTCTCTAATTCATGGCTGCGTGATTGCCCAATGTGCAAAGATTGGTGGATTAATTGGAGCTTCGAAGTGCAAAGAAGTTCCTCATCTCAGTCCAGCTAAGTTCCGGTTTCGAAAAAGTAAACTTCAGAAGGTGACCATAGATAACATGCCCCGGTTGAACTACAGAAGCAGAATGTCACCATGTAAAAGGCCCTCGCATGCGCACGAACTGTGAGCTTTCCAGAAATCCAATTACCTCTGAATTGCTACTCACCAGTTACCGCAAGGAAACATTTCCGCATAAATAGCAATTCGAACATCGAACAGAGTAAATTCCACCATGATATCTAAAGGGGGAACAAAAAATTAGAAAAAGGGGGATAAAAAGCAGCTCCAAGATTCATGGAGTTAAAATGGTGACTACAGGCTCCATGATTATCTATGCAAAAAAAAGAGATTGAAATACTGACAATCAAGTAGAATGAATAACAAACCTAGCATACAACACCCTAATTCACCTGGTTGCCGAGCCAATATTCCGGTTAGTCCACCTACATCATGCCTGCAAAAGAAATAACAAGTAAAGAAAATCACCTCTTTGCAGAAGCCAACAGGCAAAGTGGCTCTTTTCATTTCTATTTCAGGAGACATATTTTGATCATCTCTCATAGGCATACGTAAACAGACATACTAATTTTTCAGAGATTACATAAACCATTCTAAACAAAGAGTCCAGTGCTGCTGCTAACAAGAATATTACATTGATAACTTTAATCCAAACACGGTATGCCATTACTCGGTTCAATAGCATCGACCTATGAGAATTACAAATCTTAAACACCCCTCCTTGGACATTTCCCCAGCCTTACAGTTAATCTTTTAGCTAGACCCAAAAAGAATGCAAACCTTTTATACTCTTGATAATTATAATCAAAACTAAATGGACAGCTGTGAACCTGGGTCAACTTCCATAGTGCAATACAAAAATGTCTGTCGAGCTACGAATTTTGGTCAACATCCATACTGCAACTCAAATGTTATGGTTGCTTAATGTCAATTGACTATGAGTAATCATTATATTCAGAATCACATTATGTTATCGTAAAATCACATGATTTTACAAGTCAGAACATGGCTGTCTAATTGAAAATGCTGTGGCCACTTAAAACTCACTTTGTCATAATCATTCATAATTTTACAAGTCAGAACACAGTTGTCTAATTGAAGATCCTGTGGCCACTTAAAACTCACTTTGTCATAATCATTTACACTCCCGAATATAATAGGGTTGTAGTGGCCCAGTATAGCAAACTAATAATGCTGACAAAAAAATTGTTATGATCCTGCTATGCAGGGATTAAAAAAAATCTCATTTTCCCATCAGATAATAACTTTGCATTTTGAATTAGACTTACGATCTCTAGCTACATCTCACAACGAATGGCAAAAAGATCGAATATCATAACGACTATAGGGCAGCCAAAGAATGAAAATTCATCTGGACATCATTACTATCTATTCTCCTATTGCAATTGTAACAGTGGCTAGTGAGATTACAGGACTAATAAGAGCAAATTTTCCATCCATGCAATGCCATTGACTGCTAATGACACAACACGATTAAACATCAAAGATTCTAGAAACAAAAGTTTGACAAGGCATACGTGGTCTGATGGCAATCTGCACTGTTGTCATAGTCAACTATAACATACCTGTTGTTTTTTCTTCTTTGGCCTTCTTTTTCTTCGAGGTTTATGAGCATCAGAGTTTGAACTCAAGTTGCTACTAAGACCAGTCCTTGAGTGTGAGGATCCCCTTGCATGGAAAGATCTACTTCTGCTGTTTGATGTGTTGCTTGATGTAGACAGTTCAGCTCTTTGAACAGACTGATTTGTGCTTGATGTAGAGCCAAACCTTGATTTACCACGAACAGATGCTGAAAATGACTTGTTTGATGGCCTTGGAGGAGGCATTAAAGCTCGAGCAGAAACCTGACTCTATAGAAGTAACATTAAGAATGAAGAACAATAAGAGATTACGGGCATTAGATGCATTGCTCAGACATAATACCTGATTTTTTTCATCGCTTGACATACCAGATGCTGCTTTTCCTGACGCACTAGAAGCCTGCTCCCTAATTAGTAAAAGTTAAGAGACATCTTATTTTCAATGGACATTGTCAACAGGCAAATTGAAAAGAGTCATTGAGCAACTAGAAAGTAAAACTCACATTTTGCACAACAAAGAGATCACAGCTTCAAAGGAAAGGCCCAAACCATGAGAAATAGATATTGCTTCTTAGCTACAAATTTTTCTATTCATCAATCTATAGTTTGGAATTAACTTGTCCATTTCACTACAGGACTTCCTACATCTCAATATTACCCAAGAAATGGCAATCAGATCTCGTCAAAAGAAAATAAAGCACATCAGATTGATGACACACTTGAAGCTCTAAAATTCCCAAAAATAGCATGCGAGTTCATAATTACAGTTAGTACCTCAAACTTTTATCTGTCCATTCATCATCTGCATTAGCTTCATCGCTTGAACTTCCAGCAAGGAAGAAATCATCTTCACTTAGATCCAAAAGTCCATCGTCCTCACTTCCAGTCTCTGCAAAAATTGTTCCACATATGTGCCAAAAACCAGGACAAGTGTCCCAACATTAGATCATCACTCAGAACATAAAAGGTATTCTATCAGCCTACCGACAAAAAGGACAAGTATTTAGATGTTAAAAAGTAAAGATATATACTACTTCTGCAAAAAAAAATTACTTTGGACATCATGTTGCTTGAGTTCCTAGCAGAACAAACATTGGTTCATTGAATTAGTAAACAAACCCATGCCTAATATATATAGAACAACCGAGTGAAACTGGGAAAACTAAGATATTTAAAGTAATTACTGTATACAAGAATTAGACATTCAACAGCTTCCATACGGGAAAAGTCTTCAGCTCAATGAATGGAGACGTACCTATTATGGACTTTATCATCACATATGAAATTGAAAATCTAGTAGATGATGACCAACCTAGAAGTTTATTAAGCGACAGAAATGACCAAAACAACTGTACCTTCCAAATCTTTCCCACTGGCAGCAGCAGCTATTAAGTTAGCTTTTATCTGCTTACGCAATCCATTTCTCCTATCAACCATGTCTGAATCATCACCTCCAGAGAATAAAGATACATACTTCTCTGTCTTGGGAAAGAACTGCATATAAAATACGAAAGTAAAAAGCATGGAGTTTTGTCTTTAGTGCTATATTTGATCTTGGACACACTGCAACATGCTAACAACTCTTGTGCATAAGCAAGATTAACAATAAAAACAAATGCCACTCAGCATCAAACTTAAGAAAGAAATGTACACTTCCACAGCATCATCATGACTCACCCTGACATATTCAAGATCTTCTTTCAATTTATATAGCTGTTCAGCAATCGCAGCATCTTGTTCCGGGCCCGATAAAGTGCGCTGCATTTTCTCTAACCGTCTTATTCTTCTTTCTATCTTTCTTCTTTCTGTTCAATGAAAGATTAAACTTGATGAGCCAATAAAAATGATCAGAATATTCAGAAGAAGCGCTGTCTGAGCATGTGAACTAGTACATATGATGTGCAGACTAACCAAAAAATTTAATCTTTCTATCTCGTAGGAATATCTTTTTCTCAACAGCCAGACGAGAATGAATCTCCTGCTGTTTCTTGAGTCCTTCTAACTTCTTTTCCTGAGCCTCTCTCATTTCAGGAGGAAGATCCTTTGTAGATAAGAACAATAACATCAATATCATCATGCAATTCCAATACATTTTGAATTAGCATCAAAACATAAAATAACATAATATAGGTCATTGAACATTTCTGATGCAAGAATACAGAAATGACTAGGTCTGTACAACATAGGTAGAATAGCACACATCATGCCTAAAGCTTGGTCGTTGAAACGTCAAGCATGTAGATCCCAAAGTTCCTCAGTTAGCTTTATTTTAAGCCCATGAGCTCAATTTCAGTCAAGCATGCTCTGTGTTTTCCACAAAAAAGGGCCTTTATGAAGGCGCGTCAAGCACTAACTGAAAACCAACATTACTAAGGGTTGAAATCTAAATATTGTCAAGATTATCCCCAATTGAAAAACCTCAAAATTCTCATCAATCAGTTTGTTCATCTTCAGAAATAAAGCTAACTTAGCAATATTGGTCGCCTATTTCTATCAAACAACTAGAATCAAAGCCATGACCCCTCTTTGGTAGAACTGGCAGCTTGATTGTTTTTTGACAGACATAGGCAATCTCCTATAACAATTGTTGTAATGGAGTGAAGAGAATACAGGGAAGGAATTTCTAATGACTCTTGAAGGGACTAAGTTGTCGAGATGTCGATTTTTATCCTAATGACTAGAGTGCTCTTATAAATGGCCAAGTGCAAGACACATTGGCTTTCCAAGTAGATAATACAACCATGAGTGGACAGTTCTAATTTATGGAATCCCAGTCCTACAGTCTCTCCTAACATTAAAACGACACTAACACTGAAAGTAACAGCACAAAACATAGCACTCCAATGACATTCATTACAACAGAAGCTGGATAAGCAAACCAACTAGATTTGAATGAAGCACGTCTCTTCAAACACTTCAAAGGCACATCCTTGTCGAATCATAACTTCCTAACGCAGTCTTCAGGGACGACATTTGTCCAATTTACAAGGAGGAGATTTTGCCAATTGCCATATAGCTCATCGAAAATCTACCTAACTTTTTATCAGATGAACTATCATCCTCACGGAAGCGCCGGATAAAATTGACTATGCACTCGAACTAGAAAAAGCTTTGGCCGGTTAAGTCGACCTAATATTTCCCGACTCTCCGAAGCATTGCTTCTCGCAGGCTTCGTTTTCATGCCCCGAAGGAACTGGGTTTCAGCTGAACACTCGAGCGAAACCAGACTCCCGACAGTTCCATCTATCTTCACTCAAAGCAAGCAGCAATGGCATCCATCCATCCGAATCCGGGCATACACTCCACAGAGTATATAGTCAACCAAAACACCAACATCGAGAAATCGCCGAATAACCAGACAACCCACGAAATCAGAAAACAAAATTAGACTATTCCATCTAAAAAGGCACCGCAAGGCACGGTTCGCCAAACCCAACTCCACGATACGAAAGACAAAAACACCATTGAACCCTAAAGCAAGCTCGCAAGAGGCCAAACACCGTGGAAGGTAGATAGAACCGTGACGAGGATACCTTGCGGAGCATGCGCTCGACGCTTCGGATCTGGTTCTTGAGGGAGACGGCCTTCGGCTTCTTCTCGACCGGCGGCGCCCTCGACCGGCGGCCGCCGGCGGGCTTGACCCGCCGCTTGCCGTAGCCGCCGTGCGCCATGGATTTGATTATCCGATTGCACGGAGAGGAAGAGAGAGAGAGAGAGAGCGATGCTTATGTACGGGCGCTACAGCGTAACGTGTCCGAAGAACTAGTGACGAAGAAGGCGCGGGCCTTCGATCTCGGGTCGGGCCTTAGCCCGATAACCCGGATCCGGCCAGGTAAAGTCGGTTCGGGTTTTCGGTTGCGGTCCTAGACCCGTTTCTCCTTCGGGCCTGCTCTTCAAATCGTTTCAGCGGGTCGAGCTCGATTTCGGCCTCGAGGCCCAAACACAGGAAAAGCTCTTTAGAATCGGAAAAAAAATATATATATTATTAATAAATAAAACCATGCAAAAATGGGGGGTTTCTAATTATAGAATAGGAGATATTTAATTTAATTCTTTTTTATGGAACTATGGTTAGTTTAATTTTACCAATTTCGTATTCGACATATTTTCCTTAAATTGTTTGGTCAGGCGTCGTTCTCCAATTTATGATTATTCGTCGAAATACATGATTATTTTTCTTCTTCTTTTTGGACTATAGAGTCGAGAGGTACAATTTCCATAAAAAAATATCTGTTCTAAATCGAATCAAATTGATAATAAATAAAGGGTATTCGTTCGATTGGAGTTGCAATTATCGATTGGCTTCAAGTTTGGATATAAATTTTTTTGGACCGAAAAGTATTGGTTTGTGTTTGAACCACTCCGCAGACCAAATTAAATCAAACCGTGCTAATGTATTTCCTGAATTCTGCACATACATATTATCATCTCCCCCCCCCCCCCCCCCCCAAAAAAAAAAATCTATCTGGTAACATTCTTTGTAGCTCATCCACATTGTAATATAAGCAAGTAGATCCGATCATGACCCCTCTCCCTCTCTCTCTCTCATCTTGCCAAAACTTGAGCATTAGCTGATAATCCATCCTCCGAGAAATCAAAGATGTCATCGCTCTTGCACAAGGCATACACTATGTCCACCATGCTCGGCCTCCTCGACGGGTCTCGGTTCAAGCACGATATCGTGACGCTCTCCACCGAGCACGACGAGTTCGCCACCAGGCCCTCGTCCATCCACACCCTCAACCTCTTGGCCTTCTCGATCTCCTCGCTGCTGCTTCCCCCAAAGGCCTAGACCTTGCCGGCCCATGTCACTCTCCCCTCCTCGTCCATCGCCTCTCTCCCAAGACCAGCTCAAGTAGGACGACCCCAAACGAGAAAACATCCATTCTCATGGACACGAACTAGACTTGTTAAACGGGTGAATCGGGTCGAGTTTGGATCTAGTCATAAATGGTACAACCCAAATTGACCCATTAACCCTTTATATGACCCATTTAGTTGTAATGTAAATATCCCGACCTGTACCCAACACATAAAATATGTATATATATATATATATATATATATATATATATATATATATATATATATTTAACCAAATCTATGAAAACTTGTTTCTTATGACTTTTTTAAAAAATTATACTACTAAAACATTTTCATACAATACAAAGCTAGTGAACAATTTTTATAATTTTTTTTAAATTGAGGTTTTGTTTTTTTCACGAAAAATGCAACATTTCTAGAAAATATTTTCCATGAAGTCATTATCCAAGAAAATAAAAAAAAATTCGGTATTTGGCTGAAACCTGAAAATGAACTAGAAAATATTTTCCAATGTTTGGTATATAAAATCTGATTTGATTTTACTTCGTGCATTCATTTTAATAATTTTAATATTTTTTATCTTTTTAAAATCGATTTTTTAATTATTTTTATTTTATTTTTCTTTTTTCTTTTTTATTTTTCCTTTATTTTTGGCCGGTGGCTGGCCACCGTGACGGCCAGTGACCGGCCACAGGTGAGGACAAGCTCGCCGGAGGCTAGCGAAGCTCAAGCTCATCAACGGTCGAAAGTATCACCGAGGCAAGGGCCAACGACCCTCTCTCAGACCAATGCGAGGGCCAATGATCCTCACCCAAATCTGGGTGATCCGGCGAGCTTGTCCTCACCTGTGGTCGGTCACCGACTATCACCGTGGCTAGCCACCGGCCAAAAATAAAGGAAAAATAAAAAGAAAAAAGGAAAATAAAATAAAAAATAATTTTAAAAATCGATTTAAAAAAAATAAAATTATTAAAATGAATGCACGAAGTAAAATCAAATCAGATTTTATATACCAAACATTGGAAAATATTTTCTAGTTCATTTTCAGATTTCAGCCAAATACCAGAAATTTTTTTATTTTCTTTGATAATGACTTCATGGAAAATATTTTCTAAAAAAGCTCAAGAACTGATAATCGATTTTTTTCCCATGTAAGGAAAATCGAAAAGAAGCCCGATATCGCAAATTATTAAATTACCATAGAGAAGAGATGGAAAAGCCTACTTTCAGTCCTTTACTTAAGATTGAAATTCATTTTAACGATTTAGTGATGAAATATGCATTTTGACATCATTAATCATTCGGTCAAGTTTATGTAATCGATTCATCATGAGTGAAAAATGATGATCACATTTCACTGGAAAATTACCAAAAATTTTGTAAACCTATTGTACGGATGCCAATTCAATCATAAATCTTTCAATTTGGCTAATTTAGTCATAAACCTTTTGACAATTTGCCAATATAATCATTTCAACCAATTTTGGCCGAAAATAGCTAACATGGATGGCGGTTGTTTTATGTTTGCACAGTTAATACTGACGTGGATAATTTTTAATTTATATTTTTCCTTTTCTTTTCTTTCCATTTTCCATTTTCTTTTTTGTTCCCCTCCGCCGATTTGCGACCTCAGCGGTGGTTGGGGGAGGTTACCGACTCCAAGCGAGAGCACTGTAGCCCTCGCCAGATCTAGGTGAGGGCCACAACGCCCTCACCAGATCTGGATGGCACAACCACGGCCAAATCTAGCAAGGGCATTGCCGCCTGAGCCCAAGCCCTCGCCTAGCCTAGATTTGGGTGAGGGGCCACGAGCCCTCATTATGGCCGGTGAGGGCATTGCGGCCCTTGGCCATGCCATGGCTAGCAAGGGTCGCTGTCCCAATTAAAAAAAAAAGAAAAGAAAAGGGAAAAATTTCATAATTTTTTTTTAAATTGCAAAAATTGTGCACGTCAATGCGTGTCATGCCATGTAAAACTACTAGCGTTCACATAGCGATTTACGGTCAAAATTGTCTGGAAGAAATAAATTGGCAAATTGTCAATAGATTTAAGACTAAGTTAGTTTAAGATTGAATTGACATTCATAGTTTAAGATTGAATTAACATTCATACAATAGGTTTATGACTTTTTTTATGATTATCCCCACATTTCAGAGTACAGTAATCAAAATGACTTCTCTTTCAAAGTGCATAGAACAACAATGGCACACTTCAAGTTTAATAAATGGTTAATATCACGAAAAATCTCAAACTGGTACACTTATGACAAATTTACCCCAAACTAATTTTTTGACCACCAAAAATCCCAAATCGGTACAACTGTGACAAATTTACCCCGAAATATTTTTTGATAATCAAAAAGCTCAAGCTGGTACATTTGTGACAAATTTACCCTCCATTAGTTTCCGTTAAATTGAATTAATACCACAAAAAAAATACAAACTAGTACACCCATGATAAACGGAGGGTAAAATCCCAAATTTGTACACCCGTTAACTGTCACGTGTCATTCAATTCAATAATTTGATGGTAAAATTTACCTGAAACTAACGGGGGGTAAATTTGTTACAGGTGTACCAGTTTGAGATTTTTCGTGATATCAACCATTTAATAAACGGAGACCAAAGTGAAGATATAAGTGAAGCCAACATTAATATACATTGGGAAACTAAAAGCATGATTTTCGTAATTCACGGCAATATGGTTCTCTTTCCTTTCTTTTTTTTTTTCCCTTGCGAAGCATTTGCTCAATGCTTAGAATCTGGTTCTTGGGAGAGACGGCCTTCGGCTTCTTCTCCAAACCCTAGCGGCTTTGATCGACAGCCGGCAGGCTCGACCCTTCACTTGCTGTATCTGTCGTGTGCCATGATTATCCCATTGAACAGAGAGAGAGAGAGAGAGAGAGAGAGAGAGATGCTTATGTACGGGGTTAGCTTAACAAGTATGAAGAATTAGTGAAGAAGACAGCATTCAATCTCGACGAGATTTGGACCAAAAAAAAAAATCTCGACGAGATTTGGACCAAAAACAAAATCTCGGTGAGATAGGAAGAGGTTTCTCATATTGCACTCATTCATGGACCCAGATCTCCCACTACGCTGGGCCTTGCTCTGGTGAAATTTCTAGTATATCAGTCAGGAGATGTCTTGGGACTAGCCAATGACTATTGTTTAACCGGTTTCGAAAACAACACAACATCATAAGCTATTAGTGCTAGGTAGACCCATCAAACGGGTGGGTCGGATTGAAAATCTTCTAACGCAAATTGACCCATTTAACTCGTTTTGACATATTTTCATTCAATACAAATCTAGTAACTCATACCCGACCCAATTCATACCCAACACATACCCGACTCAACCCATATTCATAAAACACTTCTATATTTAACCAAATCTAGGAAAATTCATATCCAAATTGAGGTGAGAGCATGGAGTGAGCGAGTGTGAGATTAAGTGAAGGCAAGAGAGTCATATAAGTGAGTTAGATTGTGAACTTATTTAACATCCATATTATTTCGAACTTTATCATTCTAAACTCATTTATGACTTATTTACTGAATATAACTGCTTTATGTACCAACCCAGCCCATCAAGTATGGGTTAAGAAAATGGGTTTATGATCCATTTTGATGAATATAGTGCTAAGTTATTATTTCACATTTAACTTGCAAATTTACATAAAACAAAATTCAAAATGGATATTTTACTCTCAAACTTTCACCTAATAATGGCATTTTATTAGGATGATTGCGTCTTCGGCCATGCACACAGAAGAAAGGCTTTCAAATTCCTTTCATGCTTCGACCAAAAAGAAAAAATCCTTTCATGCTGGCCGGGCCTGCAAACCCAGCCCATCTATCAAAGTTAGGGCTTGATTGTTCTACACGGCCGACAGTTTCTGCGTGC